GAAAAACAGGGCAGGGGAATTGTCAACTCCACGCACGTTGTATTTGTGTATATCTTGAGATCTTGAGACGCAACCACATGAACGAAAAAAGATACCAAGCAATTGAGAGAATAAACATTGAGTGCATCTCTGATAATGAGAAATCTTTATTCACTTATTTGCTTTTAGGTGCAATAGTGGGGTTGTGGTTATACTGAAATACGTTGTTATTTTACTAATCTACCTCAGCACTGCTGTGTAGGGAGGACTTGTTGGAAGAGTGGTGCAGGAATAGAACCAGTAAGATCTAACTGATCATGCTTAATAATGGAAACTGATCGGGGTATGTGGCCCCCTCCCCGCTTTCAGTGTGTGTGGTATTGAGAACAAAATCAAAGACCCTGTGCTGTGTTCCGCAGCCCTTTTATTTTTCAGTTTTGACACGGGGTCTTGCTAGTTGCCCATGCTGGCCTCAAACTTGCAGTACTTCCTCGTTCTCCCAGGTGGCTGGGATGGCAAGAAGTGCCACTGTGCCCAGCAGGTGTAAAAGTTTTTTTTTTTTTTTTTGAGATAGGGTCTTGTTATGTAGTTCAGCCTGACCTTATATGCACTGTGTAGCCCAGGCTGGGCTCGAACTCACAGCAGTCCTTTTACCTCAGCTTCCCAAAGGCTGGGGTTATGGTGTGTGCCACCATAGCCAGTGGTTACTAAAATCTTGAAGGTGCTCTTTGGCATGTACATGAGCCTCTCTTGTTGGCTTTTTACCCTATATTTAAACCTAATTTTTGTGACTCTTTAATTGACTTTTCATAGTAACAATTCCAGCACAGGGCTAGGGATTTAGCTCAGTGGCATAAACACCTGCCTGGCAAGTGTGAGGTGGTTAGTTCAATCTCTGGTACCAAAAAAATAAATAAAAAACCATAATTACAACACAGTATGGCACTGAGGAATGAACCTAGGCCTTGTGTGTGCTAGATGAGTGTCCTACCACTGAGCTATGCTTAGCTCTGCATGGGGCACTTTTTAAAGGATGTTGTTTGTTGGTCAGAGATCTGTACGGCAGTTATTTTGTTCCTTTATCCGCTGTAAGAAAATCTTAGACATGTTAATAGTTTCCTAACAGTGGGGCGATGAGCTTTTGTGTTTTTGTTCCCCCTCTATGTACTGTAAAAATTTTAACTACCAGTTGAGTATTCACAAGGTGCCAAGTAGTGTTCTGGACCTAGAATACATGGTGAAAAGAAGCCTGGTCTCTGTTGTCACAAACCGTGTGTTCTGTTGACTGCTATTCATGTGTGTTATAGGAGGAGGTATTTTGCTGATAAGTTTAACTCTAATAACAGTATAGGAGGTGCAATCTATTAAAACGAATATTTTTTTCTTTAGAGTTTATCGGTGGTGGTTTGCTTTTCTGGGACAATGACTTGCTATGTAGTTCAAACTGGCCTTGTACTCATGTTACCCAGGCTGTCTCCAGACTCCTTTCTGCCTCAGCCTCCCAAGTGCTGGGATTTCAAGGGTGCAGCGCTACGCCTGGTTGTGAATATTTTCTTGACTCGTAAATACTGAGAATCAAACCTAAATCAAATGAAATTCTGAACGGCTGAGTGCAGATGTTCAGAGAAGCAGTGTTTAACTGTGTGCAGCCATCTCAGTAACAGAGCTGAGGGGCCAGGGGTTCCCCCCACCGGAACCTCATGTTTCTGCACTGCCTGGGTCTAGTCCTGCCTTTGGTTGCTTCCTGTTCCTGTTGAGCTTTCTGGTTCTTTTTAAGAGTGGAGCAAAATCTTAGAAGCCAGCGGGGAAACTGTTGGTTCCTGGGTAAATGGGAAAGAACAATTCTGGCTGTCAAAACACTTAACTCTAATTGAAATGATTCTGGATGTTTATCTAAAATGAGACTTGAGCAATTCAGATATGGAAACTGTACAACCATTTAAGGTATATAATTATTCTGGATTAAATTAATTCATTCTGGATTAAGTTAATGAATGTTGGATGTACATTTTGAAGAACAGAATTTCCTTGGGAAACATAGCTAATAGACTACTTTTTTGGGAGTTTAGTTTGGTTTGGAGACAGTCTCTCGCTATACAGTTCAGGCCAGCCTTGAACTCATTTATGTAGCCCATGTTGGCCTTGAACTAACAGTAATCCTCCTGCTTCAGCCTCCTGAATGCTGAGATAACAGGTGTGCACCTCCTAACCTGACTAGATTACTTTTAATGTTCAAAAACTATTCTGTTTAAAGAATTTGCTAGAAACTGTGCAGTAGATACTTGTTTTTAAAATATGAATTATTAACTTCTAATTGACTTGAACTCTTTACATTTACCTGTGTACATTTTTGCAAAAAGTTTTGCTAACATAAATGCTCTTCAAAAATTAGTTCCTTGAGGGTGAATAGTTTCTTAATACTGCTGCTGTCTTTGCTGTGTAAGGTACTTGGTTAAAATAGATTATTATTATTTGCATACGTATAACAAGTAATTCTTTTTTTTTTTTTTTTTTTTTTTTTTGTCTTTTTTCCTTTTTATCGGTACTGGGGATCGAACTCACGACTGCCTGCTTACAAGGCAGGCGCTTATGCCGCTGAGCTAAATCCCCAGCCCCATAACAAGTAATTCTTACTCCTTAGTTACGCAGAATGTTTATGTAGCATGAGTAATTTTTATGATAGCTAAAGCAGTGTGTAGCAGCATGTTAGAAAACTTTTTTTGGTACTGGGAATTGAACTCATGTCTCCTTGCACTTGACAGGCAGATGCTAATGCCACTGAGTTATATCCCTGGCCCCTAGAAAACTTTATTAAGAGTGTTACTTGTTTGTTTGGCACTGGAAAATTACCTAGCCAGAACCTTCATACTGAGCTATATGTTCTTTCTTTTGACAAGGTCTTGCCAAGTGGCTGAGTTGCCTAGGCTTGGCTGAAACTTTAAATTCTCCCACCTCGGCCTCCCAGAGTGTTGGGATTACAGGTGTGAGCCACTACACCTGGCTTCTATGGTGTATTTTTAAGCATTCATTGATTGGTTTGTCTGATGGAGGCTTCATTCTATAGTCTAGACTTCATTTGTGTTAATTGGCTTATGTGATTTTTTTTTTTTTTTCTTTCCAACCTTAGCTTCTTACTTAGTTGAGGCTATGGGTGCTTAACATCATACTTGGACTTTTCTCTTAAAAAACCTTTTATAGAAAAGTAATACCTGCTCTGCTTATGAGCACAAGTTACTTTTACTTTTTTTTTTTTTAAATAAAGGAAAACAATTTATTAAAAAAAAAAAAAAAAAAAGGAGCAGGAAAGGGGAAGCTACACAGCTACCCCAAAGTGTAGGGGGCCCTAGAAAGGCCCCCGCCATGAGCTAGTTTTAAATCCCAAATTAGCACTTATCTGGAAATTCTAATAAAGTAGTATTTGATTTTTTTCTTTTAAATTAACACTCTTCTCTTAGCATTAAGTATAGTCTACCCTGATGATTTGCTTTTTTAAAAATTCTGTCATAGTGTTTCTCCCGTTGCCCCTCCACGTTACGATTGCACACTGAGTACCGTGTACCTGGATTTGGCTCGTTTTCTGCAGAGTTCAGGCAGCAGCTGTGGCAATCATTCTCTTGCTTTGGGAACAGGGAAGAGACAAAGGACTAATCTGTGGATCTAATCTAAACTGGTGTTTTGTGCCTGGAAGGAGCTCACTGTAGTTCTAATTTTGTAAGAAATTGAATTATTTCACCTGAAATGTTAAATTCAATTAAGAGAGTAATTAGTTGGAGGCACCTATAGTACGTTCTGTTTCTTTGTTACCCCCTGCCCATGCGTGGGATGGGGGGATTTGAATTAAGTTGGGGTCCCCCCCCCCCCCCCCCCGTATTAGGGATTGAAACCAAGGCCTTCACACTGAACTACCGCCACATTCTTTTTTAAAAGTTTTTTTTTTTTTTTTTTTTTTAAAACAGCTGGGTGAGGTGATGCACTCCTGAAATCCCAGCACTTGGGAGGCTGAGGCAGGAGGATCGTTGCAAGTTCGAGACCAGCCTGGGCTACAAAGTGAGCTCAAGGCCTGTCTAAACAGCATAGCAAGACCCTGTTTCAAAAAGAATTTTTAAAAAAATCAAAAAAACTTAAAAAAAAAAAATTTTTTTTTTTTTGAGACAAGTTCTCACTAAATGTCTAAGTTGGCCAGGCTGACTGGGGTTAAAGTTGTGATCCCCTGCCAGCTGGGGTTCCTAATGCCTTTTGTAGTATGTGGACTTCTTTGGCAGTCTGGAAATTATGAACCTCTTCTTAAAGTTTTTAAATACATAAAATTTATAAGGTTATCAAGGAAACATTTCAAAATAGCTAGCAAACGTAAAACTTGAAGTAATATGTGCTTAACACAAGCAAGAGGTTCTAGCAGAGTATCTAGATTTCATTCACAGCATTAAGTGTGGGCAATGTTTAAAGACCTGCAACAACTTAATGAAGCATAGAGATACCTGATTTATATTGATGTCAAAATCATAAATACTGTCCTGTGATGGTTTATTGCCTCCACTCATACTGAAGACAGTATTAAATTTCAGTCAGGTGACAGTGAAAATACGTGATTCTCACCTCTTCTCAATTCTGAGTTCCCTGAACTCAATTCGTGGTCCCCTTGGCTGTGATCTCAGAATAAAAACATCTGGACTAAGGGAAGGCTTTGTGTCCTGGGAGGCTTAAATAGGAAGAAAAAGGGTTTCAGCTCTGAATATAGTTATCAGATGAAATGTTTTTCAAACATTTTATGTGCCAGTTTTAGCAACTTTTAAAATATGTCATAACAGTCCAACAATGCCAGACCTCCAAATGGTCTCAATATGCATCCTGTGATTAACTTTCTTTCTTGTTTCCTTCTTGGACTCTATTTTTTTTATATATTATATAGTTAATATAAAATTAATATTTTAAATGGTTTCTAAACTTCCTTGTTGGGTATTAAGATCTTGTACTTTTATATGTTGTTTTTCTTTAAATATATTTTTAAAATTCTTCCACAGGATTCGGAGACTCCAGATACGAAATATCCCGCCACACTTACAATGGGAGGTAAGAATCACTTTATTTAAGATTATCATCTAAGTGTCTAAGCCTATTATTAATTTTTCCTTCCTTCCAGCTTTGGGTGTAGTGGAACACAAAATCCTTCTTATGGTCTGTGTCTTAATGTGGTCTTTTCTTTGTAGGCATATGGAACATTCTTGAAAACTCTGCTCTCTGAAATATTTTGGGAAAAAAAGTTGGGCGTTTTGTATAACTGTATTATCTTCCTCCTTCGATCCAGACAGGCTCGTTTGATAACAGTTTTTCTACTGGGTTTGTCAACTATTGTATATTTAAATACAAGCCTCTGTATTTGGGCAGTTTTTAAAAGATAAATAGTAGCTATTTGTTTTATTTTTTCACATCAAGTCTTATTCTTTGAAGAATGGTTCTAAAATATCACACTAAGGCAGACTAACAACTTTTAAAATAAGAGTTCTGTGAGGATAAGTTAAAATGATGCAGGGAATGATTCTGTGGTGGTGAGCTGAAGGATGCTCGTCTGAATTTTGATTCCCTTTCTCATAATCATTTGTACTCAGAATATTTTATATACACAGATTCCTCAGTATTACATTTCGTCTTTGCAAGAAGTTGTGCTTTGGTATACAGAAAGGATTTTCAAGTTACATAATGTATTTAGAAATACCCTGTAGAGGGAAGTGGTGACTTAAGATTAAGCTCCACAAGTGTCTTTTTTCAGGGCCTTTACACTGAGCTGCACCCTACCCCTTTGAATACTATTTTGAGATAGGGTCTTACTAAGTTGATAAGTTGCCCTGGCTGTTTTTGAACTTAGAGTTCTCCTGTCTTCAGCCTTTCAGGGTGCTGGAATTATAGGTATGCATTACTGTGCCTGCTTATAGAAATCTTTTAGTGCATTCATAATGCCAATTGAAATTTAGATTATGGTGACTTCACAAGCTCTTAGTTTATTGCACATACACACACACACACACACACACACACACACACACACACACACACACACACACACACACACACACACCCCCCATTCTGGCTAAAGTCTAACCTAAAAAACAAACTTTTATTTTGCTGTGTCTGATTTTTTTCCTTAACTTTTGTAATTCATTTTACTCTTCCCATAGTCCTTTGGGGGCACCGTTAAGTTGGTGATACCTCTGTTTTCATGTGTCAGATGTAGGGACACAAGATTAAAATTATTATTTACATGAGAGAAGCTTAGAACTAGACTTTGGAACATCTCACTGTTGACCCTTTTAAAACATTATTGATCATTTGATATACTGATCAACAAAAGCAAATTTGCTGATGGTTTGTTCGGAGTGGGATGAGCTCTACGGCATTGTATCGAAGACAGGGAGTGTTGTGTTCACTTGGGAGAAGGCTCTCTGTGTGTCCTCAGGCGTGCCAGCTGTTTTCTGTCAGCACTTTTGGAAGGTCGTGGAAAGTTAGCGCTGTTACAGTGGAAGCATTAGGTTCTGAAGCCATGGTTAATCTGAGGATCACTGAAAATGAAACAGCCAGACTTCTGTGCCTCCTTATCGTTGCAGTAGGAGAGACCTAGTGCCACAGACAAAAAATACTTTTGTCTAAAAACAGGGTTTGACTGGATTGTTTCAGACTGAGGGGTAAAATGAATGATGCAATGAGAAACAAATGGCCAAATGGCGTAAATGATTCTGTTTTGCTACACAAGCTGTGGCATGAAAAAAGAAGAGTGGGCCCAACAGGTAACTTAGGAAGATAAACAAGACATTGCAGAGTTAGCTGATCTTGTTTCATTTTTACATCTCTAGTTATCCCTCTTTTCCTAGATTATTTAGAAGCAAATCTTAGGCCTTATCTCAGTTCATCGTAACATGCTAAAGCACATATCTCTAAAAGTTAACTGTCTCTGTCTTAGTTAGCCATGGCTGCTTAACAAAAGTGCATAAACCATGCAGTTTAAACACAGAAACTCACAGGGCGAGGTGGCTCCTGCCTGTAATTCCAGCATTTGGGAGACTGAGGCAGGAGGATCTTTGTGAGTTCAAGACTAGCCTGGGTTACAAAGTGAGCTGAAGGCCAACCTGAACTGCATAGCAAGTTTGGCTGTCAAAAAGCCAATACATGCATGCATACATACATACGTACATACATACAGAAACTTACTGTCCAGCAGTTCAGAAGATGAAGTCCTAGATGCCAAAATGTTGTCAGGTTTGCTGCTGCTTGAGGGCCAAGAAAGGAGGAGTTGTTTGTTTTGTGGTATAGAGCATTAACTTGGGGCTTTCATGCTGAGCTTCAGTCCTAGCCTTTTTTAAAAAAAAATTAAAAAGTACAGTGTTACTCATTTACTTGTGTTACTGGGGAATGAACTGAACTGTACTGAACTACATCCTTAGCTCTTTTTTAAATGTTTAAATTTCCATACAGGATCTCACCAAATATGTATAGACTGGGCTCAAGCTTGCAGTTCTTTTGCTTTGTCTTCCTAGAATTCTGGGATTAAGGTGTGCGTCACCAAGGATTACTGCTTAGATTCAGTATTGTGTGGTTGCAGGATGGTGATAGTCTAGCTCTATTACCACTTCATTTGTTTGTTAGAACGCTTTTGCAAAGAGTAACTTGTTCTCTATAGTTACTTGATTACTTAAATATAAGCAGTTTATATTTAAAAGTGGCATAACCACATACCCCCAACCCCATTTAGTATCTTTTATAAGTATGGATGTCTTGGCATCCTACAAGGCTGACCAGTGAGTTTTCAAATGTATAGCTACAAGCTCGCAAGTTTACTGTATTTGGATTTCATTATTTGGACCATTCTTATGAGTACTTTGAGTGGGTGTCACTCAGCACATTTTTGAAAGAATATGCGTTAGGATAACAAATTGAATTATAACCATATATCTTACCTAGAAGGGAAGCAGGTAGTTTAGAAGTTGTTCGTAAACCAAGCAGATTGCCAAATAGCTCAAGCTGCAAAAAAGAGACATAAAGAAATGAGGTATGGAGTGAGACTGAAGTGAGGAATAAGGTTAAAAGCCTCACCACAGCCTACACTGTGCTTTGGATTCCTTCTTTCCTTTCTTTTTTGTCTACTGTTTTCTTTCTATTTTTTAAAAATCACAAAAATGTGTTTATACAAAATTATTAATCCATGGTTAAGTTTTGATTTTGTGTGTGTTACTGGGGATTGAACCAACTGAGCTACAAACTCCAGCCTTTCTTAAATTTTGGAAGGGTAAGTTTCCCAGGGTGGACCAGAACTTGTGATTCTCCTGCCTCGCATTCTAGAGTGCTGAGTTTTACCAGCATGTGCCACCATGCCCACCAAGTGTTCAGTTCTTAGAAACCTAAGTTAAGCAGAGAGAGCACTTGAACTGAATGAATCGGATATGAACTGGGGTCTAAGTAATACCACGATATAAAGAATAGAGGATCAAATTAAGTAGATTTAAATCTTGATGAAAATCAAAATGAGATTTAAGAATTAGCTTATGGAATGTCTGTGCATCTGTTTTTTTTTTAAATGGATGATTAGAGAAAAACGAGGTGACTATTTCAAAATGTTGAGAGGCAGTTTATTCATGTAAAACTGTTTCAGAACAAATGTAACGTGACAGGCGTAGGAGAGCAAAAGCCAGCGCACTGCCTAGTATTGCAGCGGTCTTGTGGGTAACTTTCCTTTTTGGTGCTGGGGTAGAACTGAGGGCCTTGTTAAGCACAAGCTCTGTCCTGAGCTACAAGCCCCAGCCCTGGTGACTTCGTTTTGCTGCTTATGTCAAGGATTCTAAAAAGGGTTCTCAAAAGGGTCATCTGAGATCCTTTTGTTTTCTTATAAAAGGAACTTAGATATTTTTAATTGAAGTGGATCAACTATAAGAGTAAATTTAATACTCATTTGATAGGGAACCAAAATATAGATGAATTACTGAACTGAAGAAGAAAAGAGGGAAATAGATCTCATGTTTAAAAAATTATTCAAGATTGATGATCAGGAGCACTTTGTTCATTACACATAAACTACATGGAGCCCGTCTCGGCTTCCTTGGGGTGAATGAAGCTGGAAGTCCAGTGGAGGGCACACCTTTGGATCCATGGGGTTTCTGGAAATGGGGTTTCAGGACAGACAGATCAGCAGGCAGCTGACTTGGACAGCCCTGAGGGAAGATGCCAGTCTTACTGGCTCTGTTTATCTCTGTGTTTTTGGTGGCTTTAAGCCCCTGTCTTATTATAATAAAATACAGAATTAATTTGTGTGAAATGAACATACATTAAACTCATCTGTTTTTTCCTCAGGTATACAGTTCTAACACATGTGTAAGATACCACAGTCAGGATGTTTGCCAGCTCCACCACACCAAAAAAATTCCTCATGATTCCGTGTTATAGTTCTATTCTTATCCCTCCCCCTACACACCTAATCCCTGGCAACCTCTGATCTTTTGTATTTATATTTAGCTTTGCAAGATGCCTCCCAGATTCTGGGATTACAGGTGTGCACCACCATGCTTGATTTAACTCTTTGTTAACCTGGCCAGAGATTTATCCGTTTTTAACTACACCCTCAAAAATTTGGAGCATTTGATTTCATTGATTTTCTTTTCTTTTCCTTTTTTTTTTTTTTTTTTTTTTTTCTCTTTTCTCTTTTTTTTGAGACAGGGTCTCACTGTGCAGTTCAGGCTGGCCTTGAGCTCATTTTGTAGCCCAGGCTGGTCTCGAACTTGCAGTGAATCTCCTGCCTCAGCCTTCTAAGTGTTGGGATTATAGGCATGTGCCACTACGCCCAGCTTCATTGATTTTCTTTTAAACATATGCTTCCAGTTTTCAGGTAGTACTTACGCAATTTTTCTGTCAGTGAAAATGTCTTGCAGATTTCTAGGTTTTTCCTTCCTTCCTTCTTTCCTTCCTTCCTTCCTTCCTTTTTTCCTTCCTTCCATCCATCCATCCATCCATACTGAAATCGGGAGCCTCTGATAGCATTTGGGAGATTGAGGCAGGAGGATTGCAAGATCCAAGGCTTGTGTAGGCTGCAC